AAGCTCCTTGTGTGGGTTTCTCTTTACTTCAGATCTCGTTTTGTGATCGGAATGTGACTTGTGATGGAGTTGCAGTCTCAAAACCCTGCAGGGACTCCGTCTCCCCCTGGCTGCTTTGAGTCTGAAGGCCACCGAATGATCTGGGCATTAAAATGAGAAATAATCTGCTGCGAGAGTTTGAAACATAAAGCAACTGTTCAGTCTCTCAATTATCAATTCTCTTCCCTGGGCCCCAATTTTATAGCTATTAAGAATCACTCTTGAGATAACCCATTGCTTATGTATAACGTTGTTATGGAATTTTATTACAGCAATATCACAACTGGTCCAACACAAATAAAATAAATAAATAAATAAATAAATCTTATGCAGACATCCTGCTGATTGAATACCATGCTCTTGGAATTCCTCCCCCTGTGCTTTTGGATATGAATTCCTCTGAAAGGTTTCATATATCCTGTGCTTTTCAACATGATCCACCCTCTAAACAACAGCAATATGGCCTAGCAGAGCTACCGTGAATTGCATTAATATCCCCTCATGAGCTCGGATGACATGAGATCAATCTATCAAGCTGAAACATACAGTGAAGTCTGGTTTCCTAAAACATGTACGGTCATGGTGTGAGGTCTTGCTTAATCCTTGTGAACTGACTGCTTTCTCTGTTGCTTAATAAAGGGTCTCCCTAAAGAACGAACAGGAACCAGTGAGTAAACCATTCCACACATTCCAACAAACCCGATGGATCACAAAAGCACACAGACATGAAAGATCAAGCCCTGGCAACCATAGACCAGTACTGTATTTGTCTAACCTCCTGTCTTTTGTCTGCAAATAAAGTGGATTTGAGTATATTGTAATTTAATTGAGTGGTCTCATATTTCCGTCCCTTTCACAATCCTATTCACTTTCTCTGATGCAGCTGGTCACAGCTGCACGGAGCAGGAAGTGTCCCTAACAAGCTTTATTTATGAAATTACCTGCACCCAGCTGCCAGGGGTCAAAGTTCAGAGAAAGGCCATGCTTATAGATTAAATTAACCTAGTGAGAGAGAAAGGCTGACCTCACATCACATCCACCTCTCCGCCTCAGAAAGAACTGGTACTAATACTGAATTTAGGAGCT